CTTTCTACTCCCGTAAAGATTTACACCCTCGGAAACCCTATACAGGGTCGCTATGGGTCGGAACCGACTCGATGGCACATAACAACAACAACAACAACATAGGATTTCTGAGCCTTTAAATCTTCAAGGGAGCCGAAAACCTTATCTTTCTCCTGTGGATCAGCTGGCAGTCTCAAATCGTGACTCTTGTACTGATACATGCATGAAATACTACAACATGGATTAACCTTAAAAACCTGATGCTATGTGAAAGAAGCCAGCCACAAAAGGTCACCTGTTGTATGACTCCATTTATATAAACTGTTCAGAATAGGCAAATCTACAGAGACAGAAAATAGATTTGTGGTTGAGTGGCAATTGGGGGAGGGAAGAATAGAAACTGTCTGCTAACAATAACAGGGTTTCTTTTTGGCGTGATGAGAATATTCTGAAACTAGATGGTGGGGATTGATACACATATCCTGCTGAGTTAGCTGACTGCTCAACCGATGGGAAGCTCGGGAGGGAGGTTGCAGGGTGGGAGAAGGGGAGAAGCTGGGGTATATCTGGGCCTCTCTGCATGAGGCAACATTTCCTGCAGCGCTGCTGTCTTACCCTGTACTCCAGTCCCACCCTTTGGTCCTAGCTCTGGACTCTGGTCTCCCCACTTCTTTCCTTGTCCTTCCATCCTGACAAGTAGAGCATCTTCTTGTCAGTATCCCCTGTGTGGCTTCTCAGATCTTCCTTTACCTATGTAACCAACTTCCCTGTATTAATTTCCTTCTCTCTGAAACATCTAGAGTGGTTTCTAGTTTTTATTTTGTTTTCCTGGCAGATAAATTTTTCTCAGGGCTGTACCAACACATGTTTATTCCAGTATTATGTTAAATCATCAGCTTCCTCCAAACTTTACCAATACTAAACAGGTTCCCTATCAATTCATCCTATTTACACATAACCCAGGGTCCTGGTTTGGTGCTGTGGGTTAATGTGCCAGACTGCAAAGCTGTTTGAATTGCAAGGTCAGTGGTTCAAGTTCACCAGCTGCTTCTTGGAAACCCTATACAGGGTCGCTATGGGTCGGAACAGACTCGCCGGCACTGAATAACAGCAACACACATATCCCACGTGCATGTGCTCCTGTGGTTACTGTATCAGTCAACAATCTGTGCTTCAGCCAATGAGCAACTCCCGGGACCTTTGTTTCCCTCTTCCTGAAGATGGACCAGCTTGAGATTTATTTCTCACATTTCACATAAGAATACATGGTCTCCCTGGTTACTATTACCAACTGGTTAGAAAGGGATCACATTAGATGGCTCTGAATAGAATGGGGGAAAAGGTGGAACAAAACTCATATTCATAAGAAACCAGAATTATTTCTCCGATAAAGACTGTGGAACCCCAGAGACTGTGGCCCTTAGTCACCCTTCAGGTCTAGAACTGAAATCATCTCTGAGGCCCAATTTTCAGTAAAACCAAAAAGAGGTCTATAAGGGGAGTACTGGTGTGGCACTGCGGGTTAATGCATTGGACCACAAGGTCTGTTTGAACCACAAGGTCAGCGGTTCAAGCTCACCAGGCTCTCCTTGGAAACCCTATACAGGGTCACTATGAATCGAAACTGACTCGATGGTACTTAACAACAACAACATAAAGGGAATTATAACACTAATGAGGTATGCACACCTTAGAATAATCAACCATTTGGAATTAAGAGGGCAGCATTTACGCAACGACCAAGTTCAGAAGGGCTAGGAAAGAAATGTAATGGAAACAGGAAACATAGGAAGGAAGTGGGTTAAGTGACCTTACACTAAGGGGATTGTAATCAGTTAGTTGAAGCAAAATGTTTATGTGTATGTAAACCTTCACCCAAATCAAAATAAAACAAGTTTAAAGAAAAAATACATGGTATCTTGCAATTTTGTTTGACTGTTGGCAAATGACATTTGTGAAATGCTGAGAATAAAATATTTATTCAAGTATTTAAAAAGACAATTAAATAAAACTCCTAAACATTAAAACAATTGGACATAATTAATTTTAAATAGAATCACTTTTCAATTATATTTTAAATGTTTTAAAAAGAAATGAACAAACGGCCGATTAGCCCTTCTAGCCCTTCATTACCGTTCAGTCTCCCTTTCACTTGGTAAGGGCCCACGTCGCCCAGGAACCTGCGTTTCTTCCACAAGCGTTTCTATGGGGAATCAGTCTTTAGGTGCACCGCCTTTGCCCAACCCCTTAGTGCATTTAGGCCATTCTAATTGGCTAAATCTTTACCATGTGATCACACCTGCGGTTATGATTGGTTAGCCTGGCGCAAGCGAGAGGAACCTACTTGCCTCGTTTCCTCGGATACGGCGCCGCGAGACGGGACTGGGGCCGGCTGTAGTCCGCCGCAAGGTGGAACCCCAGGTGTGAAAGTTTCGCACAGCGGCCATTGGATTTAGGCTAGGGTCGCCATGGCCAGCGTCCACGAGAGCCTCTACTTCAATCCCATGATGACCAATGGAGTGGTGCACGCCAACGTGTTCGGCATCAAGGACTGGGTGACACCGTATAAGATCGCGGTGCTGGTGTTGCTGAACGAGATGGGCCGCACGGGCGAGGGCGCCGTTAGCCTAATGGAGCGGCGGAGGCTCAACCAGCTGCTCCTACCGCTGCTGCAGGTGAGGGGCCCCCGCCGGCTCCAGCTCATTCAGCACCTCCCCCTCCCTTGAGCACTTACTTAGGTGCCAGACGCTACAGCCAAGGGGCTGGGGACGTGGGCTTTGTCACACACTCCCAGTCTCCCCGAAGACCGCGAAAAACCAACGCTTGTGATCCCAGCAGCTGACACTTACTGAGCGCTTACAACGGGCCAGGTGCTTTGCATGCGTTCATGTCCCTGCTCTGCCGTGTCCTGGTTCCAGCATCTCTTAGCTGAGAGTTTGGTGATGACTTGCTTTGCCAACTTCTTTTGTAAAATGGGACTGTACACAGTCCTGAGCTCTACCCTGGCGGACCATAATCAATAGTACTAAAGACAAAACAGTTAACATTGATTACTTCCTGCTAAGTACTTTGCAAGTTTTCTTTCACTTTGCAGACTCAGATCATAACCACCACTTACTAACTTTAGGACTCAGGCCAGGCAAGTGCCTTAACCTATGTGGGTCTCAGTTTTACCTCTGAAAAGAACCCACTGCTGTAAATCTTTATAGGAGCAGAAAGCCTCATTTTTCTCCTGCGAGTGTCCGGTGGTTTTGAACTGCCAACCTAGTGGTTACTGTTGTTAAGTGCCATACAGTCAATTTCAACCCAAAGTGAACCTCTGTAGGGTTTCAAAGGTGTGACTGATGAGCTTGAACCGCCGAGTTTGCGGTTCAAACGGAGTTTTTGGTGCAGCACATTAACCACAGTGCCACCAAGACTTGAGCTTTTCCTGGAAGCTGAAAGAGACAGTACAGGCTCTCTTCCTGCCAGATGCCGCTGGTGCCATTGCCCCTGAATCTCCTCAAAAACCCAAATCAAAGTCAAAACCAGCAAGCTACTACACAATTCCTACTAGGACTGTGGTTCTCAGTTCAGTGCGTATAGCACAGATCCACTGTACTCACCAAAGTATTTATGTTGTTGTTAGGTGCTGTCAAGTCGGTTCTAGTGACCCGACTCTAGTGACCCTGTTTAGGGTTCCTGATTAGCAACTGGTGAGTTTGAACTTCCGACCTTGCTATTTAAACCGACCTTGTGGTCCACTGCTTTATCACATCCGGACTCCCAAAATCTCTTTAGAATTTGCATATTAACATTGCTGTTTTGACTTTAATGTTGTTATTGTTCAGTGCTGTTCTGACTCATCGCGACCCTCTATAGGGGTTCTGAGGCTTTAAAAATCATTGGAGTCCTGGTGTGGCACTGTGAATTAATGCTTAATGCGTGGGATTGAGAAGTTGATTTGAACCGCAAATTGGTGCTTCCAGCTCATCAGCCACTCCTCAGAAATTCTATACAGGGTTGCTGTGGGATGGAACCTACTCGACAACACTTAACAACAACAATAACAATCTTTGCGAGAGCAGAAGCCTCATCTTTAGCCTGCAAAGCTGCTCATGAGCTTCAATTGCTGACCTTGTGGTTCACAGTCCAGTGTTTCTAATAGGATACAAACACTGAGAGAGTGAAAATTCGTTCTTTTGCATTCACTCTAGTCCACTTTCCTCCCAGAAATTATCACTTAATATTCATTCATTCAACTGCTTAATAAAAGTTTGGAATGAACCTTTCCCTAAATATGTATACATTTAGATAAATGCATGTGCTGCACATAATAACAACAACAGTCAGCATATGTACTTCTTTTGTTTGTCTTTACATAAATGTTACTTATTTCTCCTTTCATTTTTCATGCCTTGGAGGTTTTTCCGTGTCAGGACATTTGAGTAGATAAGCCTCATTCTTTTTAACATCTTTATTGTATTCCAGAGTAAGAAAAGAAACCTTTTCTTACTCTCTCTCTCTTTTTACCCATTCCACATAATGTATGCTGAAATGGAATTGCTCTGTTGCAGAGCATCCACATCCGAAGTTGTCTTGTTTACTGCCAATTTACTGTCCAAAAAGAAAATCATTTTGACACTCAACGAGATTGTAGTCTTGATGGCTGAGTTGCCTGTGTTGTTGTTGTTATGTGCTGTGTCGCTAATGGGACATTTATGGCCTTCAGCATATAGTGGAACTCTGGTAGTGTAGTAGGGTACCAGTTACCAGAAGTTCAAATCCACCAGTTGCTCTGTGGTAGGAAGATGAGGCTTTCTGATCCCATATAGCCTCGGAAGTCCTCTACAGGGTCGCTGTGAGTCAATCGACTCCAAAGTGTTACCAGCATATGGTATATGTATCTGACCTTCCAGGGTTTTAGGAAAGATCCATTAAGATTATGATTGTGAAAGCTTTTTGTAAATGAAAAAGAAAACATCCACATTTTGTAATGTTACAAAATAACTTCTTTAATATTTGTTCCAAACATGGGAGATGGTCTTACCCAATTTTACTGATGATGGAAATTAGGGATCAGAGATGTTGCAACTTTGCCACAATTCTACAGCTAAGAAGGAAGGGACTGGTGAAGCACTCTCTGGCATCTAGTACTTTCTCCCATTTAAAATGATTCCACCCACAACACAGATGGTATGCAGCTGTGAAGTATGACTTCAGTGTTACAGGTAAAATAGGGTATTTTTGTTTTTGAGCTTATGATTTTTCACAGCAGAGTGGTTGATAAATGTATCCATATTTGCAACTCATTACCAATCTCCCACGTTTCAAACAGTCACCCATAACCTCCCTGTTTTTCCTTTACCCAGGGCCCGGATGTCACACTGTCCAAACTATACAAGTTAATTGAAGAGTCTTGTCCTCAGCTGGCTAATTCAGTACAGATCAGGTAAACGCCGTCTGTTTTCTTATGTATGAAAAGGTGTAGATGAAAGTTAGAAAAGGACAACTGTTAATTATTTAAAAAGGTAGCTTTATGATAGCAAGTTATTTTTTAAACATCTTTAATTAAAAAAAAATAGATAACACTAGACAAACAAGGGGGCTTAAAAAATTCGTGAAAAAATTCCATTTTTTTAAAATTCTATTTTTCCATGAACTTTTTGAAGCCACCTCCAACTATTTTGCAACTTTTCTTCAAAGCATATTATTCTATGAGTGTCTGCCTGCTGGTTTTTCATTGCTGCCGTCAACTCTCTTTTGACCGGGTAAAGTGATCCTCTGACAGATTTTATGATTAAGAAAGCAATAAGCAGTGAATTTTCAGAAACGTGAGAGTAACGTTTTGGAGTATTGCATTTGCTTTATGCCCCGCCATTTTATGTGAATGGCGGAATTGCCTCTTTTTCTTCTTTTTTAAAAGCTGCTTATCTAAGAAAACTTTCTTCTGCCATGGAAATGCTCCCTATATGTCCAGCATGGTAATTATTAGCTGTGTGTGGCTACTGAGGGCTTGCAATGTGGCCGGGGCAACCAAAGGATTGAATTCTTAGTTTTATATCATTTAAATGAATTTTACTTAAAATAACCTCATGTGGCTAGTGGTTGTCATACTGGTTTATCCATTCTTCCGTTGGTGGGCACTTAGGCTGTCTCCATCATGTTGCTGTTGTGCGCAGTGCTGCTGTGAACATGGTGTGCACAAATCTGTTTGTGCCATGGCTCTTATTTCTCTAGAATTTCTACCAAGTAGAGGGAATGCTGGGCCGTATGGTATTTCTAATTCCAACTTTTTGAAGACGTGTCATACTGTTTGCCACAGAGGTTGCACCATTTTACAGTCCTGCCAACGGTGTAGGATCGTGCAGCTCTAGAGGTTAAACCAGACTAAAGAAAGAAAATCTGGAAGTAACCTTTATCTGATTGCTTTAAAAATAGACTAAGTTTAGATGCTAATTGTGAACTATGAAATGTGGGAAGGTGTTCAAAGGGCCTTACTAAACAATGTACCTCAATTTTTCCGTTCAGAATCAAACTAATGGCTGAAGGTGAATTGAAGGACCTGGAGCAGTTTTTTGATGACCTTTCAGATTCTTTTTCTGGAACTGAACCAGAGGTTCACAAGACAAGTGTAGTAGGTATGAAACTCTTTAAAGAAGAGCAGTGTCCATTAACGTGAGCAGCTTTCTAAATCACCCCTATCATTATCCTGCTGTATCTGAGAACCAGTGTGGTCAGACATATCATACTTTGTATTTATGGCCTTGGCACATTGATAATCGACTTGTGGAAAACCATCTTCTGTTTTTGTCTGCAGCGGTCTGTCAGCCTGGTCCCTGGGGGCTTTTAGGGTTTTGGCGCTCATCCTAGGTCACTTGACTGCCTTGCACAACTATATGCATTCAGTAGAAGTGATGGCAACCCACAAACATTTATGAAAAAGAAGCTAGTGAAGATATATTATTGAAAATAAGGTCTAAGGTGAAGGTTATAAGGAGCCCTGCTGGCGTGGTAGGTGTTGTATTGGGCCGCTAACCAAAAGGTGGGCAGTTCAGGTCCACCAGCTGCTCTGTGGGAGAAAGATGAGGCTTTTTGCTCCAGTAAAGATTCCCAGCCTATGAAGGGAGGATAACTGAGTCAGAACCAACTCGACAGCACACATTCACCAACACTCAGGTGAAGACGCAGAAGACATTTCTTGACACTTTAAGAAATGTCTGTTTATTTTTGGTGGCCGTATACATGAGCAAACATACATGCATTCACATGAACAGTTCAGTAACGTAGGTTACGTGGTTCACATTGTCACCATTCTCGTTCTTTCGACCCATGTTTCATCACCATTAATTGAGGCTTTTAGCCCCTTGCAGTTCTCATCTGTGTTTTAGATGAACTGTGGTCAGTTTATACTCACTCATAGACAATTTTTTGTAAGAGCACTATGCTCAAGGTAAACGTTATGGATTGGGTTAAATTGTTTAATTTAATGATGGCTTCATGGGATAGTTTAGGTTCATGGTTTAAAGATTATTTCAAGACATTAGATTTGCGTTCTTGACACTTTTCTATCAGCTTTGTATCCAGCTGGCTTTCTCTCTGCATGGTACTTTTTGTTATTCAGCCTTAGTTAGGTGATAGTTGTTCCTTTTTGGTGTGGTCAGCTCTGAACTTACAAGGCAGAGTAGAAGTGGACCATCTGCCTGGGAGATTACCTTCTGGGAAAGCCAGATAGTTAAAAGCAAACAAAGACAATTTCAGGTCGTTGTAACAGCCGTTGTTCAGCAGACTGGCCATAGGGCTATCAGAGGAGTGGACAGTAGTTTTGTTTTACAGTTTAGGGTCAGCATGAGTCTGAGGCTGACTTCACAGCAGCCAGTGACCATAATAACAGCTACAGTGAGAATAAAATGGAAGCAGTGATGAAGAGAGAAGGGGGCGTGGCTGGGTGAGGCTTCAGCCCCGAATAGTAAAAAGAAATCCGCTTTGTAAAGAATCCGTGCTCTTACCATGTGTAGCTGACAGTAACAGCAAGTGTCTTATTTCACTTCTTTGGAAGACAGGACTGACAGGCAGGCATTGTGTGGGCTGCGTCTCAGTCAGTGCTTTCACTGGGGTCATTTCTTGTTTTGTAGGTTTATTTCTGCGTCACATGATCCTGGCCTACAGGAAGCTTTCTTTCAGTCAAGTGTTTAAACTCTACACTGCCCTTCAGCAGTACTTCCAAAATGGTGAGAAAAAGACAGTGCAAGATGCAGCTATGGAGCTGACAAACAGAGAGGAGGGCGAAAGTAAAATGGAGAAAGAGGAGCTGGATGTGTCTGTCAGGTAACTGGTCTTTTACCCCAGCACAGAAGTCCTTATTCATCTCGACCACTGCCTCACCATAAGGTTGGTGGTTCAAACCCACCAGCAGCTCCTTGAAAACCCTATATAGGGTCGCGGTGAGTTGGAACCAACTCTACAATGCTGAACAACAGAAAATTTAGTTAATTCCTAGGCAGTAAGCCCACTTCTCACTTAACAACATGGTTAGGTTCTAAAGACCAGCTCATTATGTGGAAATTGCATTACATGAAAATGGATCACAACATGGAGAGTGATCACATATTACACAACTGCCAAAATACATCATTACTTGGTGCTGAGAATCATGGCTCAGCCAAGTTGACACGTAACCTCACGCCTCTGCATTCATTAATAAGATGTGGTGGGCGCTGTACAATCAGCACTGGACTGTGAGCCACAAGGTTGGCAGTTCAGACCCACCAGCTGCTCCTCAGAAACCCTATATAAGGTCGCTATGGGTTGGAGTTGACTTGATGGCACTTAACAATAACAACAAATGTTAATGTCCAAAATGGTCAGCTGGATTTTGTTTTTTCCAGATTGATTTTGTTATTAAATATGCATGTCAGCTTTATGAAATGTGAAATGTCAGGTGGTGGTGTGCTGTGGAGTTAGTTCTGATTCATAACAACCTTGTATAGAGTTTCTGACACTGTAAATCTTTGGGAGCAGAAAGCCTTATCTTTCTCCCGCGGAGCTAATGGTAGATTTGAACTGCTGATCTTCTGGTTAGCAGCCCAGCTTGTAATCCACTGCCCTACCCGGACTCCTAGAAATGTCGGATGGGGAGTTAATAAGTGAAGAGTTCTTGTATGCCATCGAGTTGTTTCTGACTCTTAGCGACCCTGGAGGAGTTCCTAGAACAGCTGATGGGTTTGAACTGTTGACCTTTCAGTTACCAGTCCAGTGCTTATCCTGCAGCGCCACACCAGGACACAAGTGAGGAGTAGGTGTCACTCACCCTAGTTCTATTATGGTTAACATAATAAAATATCACTTCTTCAGAAATTTATTAAAGTTCAGACTTTCCTTATTTTGGTTTGACTTTCAGATCAGTCTGATTTAGTCAGGTCTAGCTGCATCATTTTGTTTCTATCTTACTATGAGAATTCAATTGTGTGCAACTCAGTATGTTTACTGTAAAGGTTTAGAAAGTTACAGAAAATATTGTTTATTTAGTAGACTGAATTTCATCACTGAAATTAAGAAATGTATTACTTAGACAAAGTGTTCATAGAAATTTTTTCATAGAAATTTTTTAAGTAACATTCTAATTATCATTATTGTAATTTTTGTCTTAAAAACACATTATTCTACTTGCTATTAGTCCTTTTTTGTTTATATTATATGTTGTTGTTCTTAAGTGCTGTCAAGTTGATTCCGACCTTTAGGGTTTCCAAAGAGCAGCTGTATAGGGTTTCCAAAGAGCAGCTGGTGATCTTGAATGTCCAACCTTGTGGTTCAATCAGACTTTGCAATTCAGTGCATTAATCCATAGTGTCACACCAGTACTCTGTATTTTATAGAATATAAACACTTCTTTATGTATTTAAAACTAGACAACTTTTATTTATGATTAAGATGTATACCTTTTAACAGTTGTCAAAAATGTAGTCAGCCATGAAATCCCCATCCTATTTTTTTTAACCTCAGCCTTCAAATGTATATTTCTTGACTTATTTAAAAGTGAACATTTCTTTGTGTGCGTGTCATAAGAAGCTTTTTACTTTAGTCCTCTTTCTTTCGTTTTGCTAATGGAATGCTTTTAGCTCTCTTTTCTTCAGAGAATGAGCTTTCTTGCATTAGACGTTCTTGTTAAAATTAGAACGGGGTGGGTGGGGAGAAAACCAGTCTGTAATACTGCATCACTTTCAAATCTCCCATTCCTCTACCAAATGATTTCTGTTTGGAAATGAGAAGCCGACCGTTAGTTTAGGAAGGAGGGACGAAAGACTCAGTCAGAAAATGTTTATCAGGTGTTTTATTTTGTAATCAGATTCTGGAAGAAGGTACAAATGGTGACATGTAGCTTTGGCTTCGCCTTGACTGCGGCAGGAGGGCCGGTAGGAGGACCACGCCTTGTGAGCTGGCGGTAGAGGCTGCCAGGCTACGCGAGTGCCACCTTCTCTGTGCTTCCTGGCAAAGGCCTCACAAAAGTGGAAACCCTTTACTTATAGCAATTTAATCTCAAACCCCCCTATCCCCCATGGATCAGTTTACTAAACAGGTATTCATGGAGAGTGGACTGTGAGTTAGGCCCTCTGCAGGTGCTGGGGTCACCATGTGTAGGAACTGGCCTGTTTTTTTTGGTGCTCAGAGGCAGTTTCTGTCAGCACATACTTACCAGGAGGGACAGCTATCTGAGAGATGACTTCGTGTCATCTAGGGAACAGAACTTCGGAGAGCAGCGGACATAGTAAAGACTTGGAGCACTGGAAGAGAGTACCTGGGGTGGGCTGGCAGGGATGGCCTTTCGGAGACCAAGAGCCAGCTCTGAAAGGGGCTGCTGAAAGTATCTCAGCTAGCGAGCTGACAGGGACAAGCTAACTGACTGACGGTACAGAAAGAGGACAGACGGTGAGATCGGGAGGACAGAAGAGGCCTGATCCCTCACTCCGGCATCATGCTTCCAAGCCTTCATGCCCTCCTGGTCTCATTTGGTTTTTAGTAACTGCTGTGTGTCACTGTCTGCTCCAAAATCTCTACAAATATTCCCTGGTGTGGCAATATAGAATAAGTCCTGGACCACAAGGTCGCTTTGAACCAAAACCTTGGCAGTTCAAATTCACCAGCCACTCCATGGAGACCCTAGAGGGTTGCTATGATTCAGAACGGACTCAACGGCGCTTAACAACATCACTCCCAGCAGGTACTCCTTAGCCTGGTGTGGGAGGCCTCCCACAGTTGAGCCTTCTGCCCTTGTGGTTAACTTCTCTGAATGGATGCTTTCCCCCAGCCAGGTCTGCTCACATGTGTGGGCATGCACAGGTGTGATCATGAACATCTCTAACAGACATGACACTGAGGGAGTGTTGAAAAAGAATCCTAGTGGTGCAGGGGGGTAAGCATTGGGCTGATATACATAAGGTCAGTTCAGCAATTCAAACCATCAGTCCATCCTAAAGGGAAAGATTTGGCAGCCTGCTTCCACGAAGTTTACAGCAGTTGGAAACTCTCTTCAGTATATACACATTTTGTGTTGTGACATTGATTATAACCCTCACAGTGTAACAGCACTCTTCCTGCTTCTCCCTGGGTTCCCCATTTCCATGAATCCTCCTTGCCTGCCCTTTGCCTTCTTAGCTGTGTTTTTGAACAAATGCTGCCCTTTTAGTCTCCTGTGGTTCATCTTTCTAAGGAATGCACATCTCCCTGTTCACCTTATTGGCTATTAAAAGTTAATCTGTAGGGATAAGTTCAGTTCCAGGTTTGAAGAATGTCTGAGGGCCTTTAACTAGCACACTCTTAAGTCTGTCTTTTCTATTTCTGAAATGGAAGAGCCAATTTTAAAAGTTTTGAACTTTTCTGCTGTTAACTATCTATTTGACTTTGTGTTATCATTTTTTAAAAAATGTTTTATTGTGAATTATGTGATAGCTTACATGGGATAACATTAGGTTTACATTTATCCTTTCGTATATTGTTTCATTGCCATGGTTACAATCCCCTCCATGAATCATCAACCAACGAAGGGGTATACACTGCAAGCCTGCCCCCCCCCCCCCCCCCCACACAGCCCCTCTCCCTCTCTGGGCCTGAAGTCCCCAGCCGCTCCATCTCTCCATGTCATTGTCTCTGCCTCCATTTCTGGCGTCACTGTTTCTCTGGGTAGGGTCCCGCTCTTCACTCTTCTCCATTGATGCTCCCCGGGACCTCTTCTCCTAGACTGCAAAGTCAAGCATGCCCTTCCTTTTGCTACAAAATGTCTACCTTTACATTTTCAACCCTCACAATCAGTCCTGATAACAATTATTCACTATTGTATCACAAGAGACCTATCTTCTCCATCTCCTTTTATCAGCCTCACCCAGACAGATTGGATGCTACTCACTGGAGATTCTACCTTCCTCCACGCCCTCTAGATCTAGACTCCCTCTTGCAAGCTTATAAGCCAGTCACTTCTTGCCTTTGTAGCCCCCTCATTTTGGGTAGCCAATGTCCAAGTTGCCCATCCCTGTCTACTCTGTGTATGGTGGGGGTGGGAATGATCCTTGCTGTAAAGATTTGTTCCCTCTTTTGAGTTACTGCATCCATAGATGTAGGTCAAGTTCATCCAATTGTATCAGATTACTCATTTTTTCCTCTTCTTCTAGTTTAGCTCTGATTATCCAGTCATTGAAGCTAGGATAAGTGGGTATTATCTGCAAGTGTGGGTGTTCTTATGCATATGCCGTCTCTTCTTATCAGCTGGACGCTTCACTCCTCACTCTAATCCTCTGTGGCTATGTCACTGACTCTGGGTCCAAGAGTCCCCAGGTCTTGCCACACTGCTGGCCAACCAGGTATCCACCTGGGTTCATAGGAGTCTATTGAACATTGTAGGACTTAGCTCGCAGCTTCATTGCTGTTTTTTCCATCACTTTCCCTTATCAGTGACGAACGTGGTCACCAATCACAGCATGTATTCCCATTGAGTCTTAGTCTTGGAAGGGGGTTTGCCCTGAGGGCACCCAACCACTTGGCTTGATGTCTCCTGGGCGAGCAACTTGCTTGTTCTTGTAGTAATCAGTCGGACTGCCTATATTGTTTTGTATTTTTCTTGTCGGTCTTTCTTTCTTTTGTTAATCATTTTTGCTATTTTAAACTATTCAATATTTTACTTTTTTCCCAGAGAAGAAGAAGTATCTTGCAGTGGGCCTTTGTCTCAGAAGCAAGCAGAAGTTTTTCTGTCTCAACAGGTATGTTAACTCTATAATTTATCATAAACTTTCCTTGGTCCTGTAGCCTTAGGCTTATGGGTTACACTGCATCATCCCTGACTCTTGGTCCTCTTTTCTTCACTGACCGTGTGGTTAACCGTGTCTATATGTCCCTTCCAGTTTTGTGTGTGATTTGTATTTCTGAATTGAAGTAACAGTGCTCGTTCATTTAGTAATGGTATGTGTGACTCACACAATTCGCTAGCATGTGATTTAGAAGGCTCTCTTCTGCTCTTCCAACATTTTATTATGGACATTGTTCAAGAAGAAGAAGCTGAACAACAGAATGCAGCGTGCTCCCAGGGAGCCCTCAGTGAGTTGCTGCCATTGCCAGCTGCTCTGCACCTGTCATTTCACCCTCTGTCCTGGTGCATGTCAGAGAGAGGTGCAGGTGTCGGTACACCTCACCTCTAAAGATTTCTGTCTGCTGCTTTGGAGCTTTCGGTTTTTCATTTTTTCAGTAATATAAGCAGAACATTTCTAATATCAAATTTGTTTTTTTCTTCCATTTTTCTAGTTTCTCTGCACTTCATTTTGTTGTGAATTTTGTTTTTCCTTAGAAAGATATAATGTTGCTATCCAGATACAAGTGATTGATGATGAATTTTGAATGGATTAGAAAAGCCACACTAGTCATGTGGTGCAGGAACCCTGGTGGCCCACTGGGTTAAACCATGCGCTGCTAACTGAAAGGTCAGCTGCTCTATGGGGGAGAGATGACGCAGTCTGTTTCTGTAAAAGTGTGCAGCCTTGGAAATCCTATGGGCAACTCTACTCTCTCCACCAAGGGGACTCTGAAAAGTCAGAATCGGCTTGATGGCAGTGAGTTTGGTTTAGACACTTGTTAACTGCTCAGGGATCATGCAAGCAGGAGCCTCACTTCCTTCTTCCATCTACCTCAGTGTACGGCAAATGGATGAAAGGGTTAAGTATACACCTTTAAAGCTATAATTAGATGACAAGGAACGGCATATTAACTTTTCACTGCTTGCCTGGTGACGAAAGGCCATCTGAACATAAAAGCAGTGGAAGAAAGCACATAGGAGCAAATCATTGAAATTTTCAGCATAAAAGTGACAGCTGTCCCAGGTCAGAACACGTCCTAGTAAAATTATAGTAAAACTTGGGAGAGCCAGAACTTGTATAGGAGGAGAAAACACAAGTATTTTTCAGTAAAAGGAGTGATAGAAAAACGGGAAGAGTGTACCCTGTCAAAGGCAGAAAATTTGTGAAACCCAGAAAATCAAGGCAGAAATTCTCATCATGGTCCAGCTCTCACAGATTTCACTGTGAGAGATAAACTGCCAAATGGGAGAAGGGATTTATAGTAGGTACAACAGTCTCAAGGTTAATATTTGCTACCAAAAAAAAAAAAAACGCTTTCAAAGACTAATGGTGAGACAAACTTTACAATGTAGTATGAAGTGAAATCAGGAAGTAAAATGATAGTATTGTAATTTTATTAAAAACATAAATCATGTGCATATGAACACACAAACCAAACCTGCTGCCATCAAGTCAATTCTGGCTCATAGGGACCCTATAGGAGAGAGTAGCTCTGTCCCATAGAGTCCTCAAAGCTGTGCCTCGTTACTGAAGCAGATCTCCAGATCTTTCTCCTTTAAAGACACTGGATGGGTTTGAGCTGCTAACCTTTCAGTTAGCAAGGCAGTACTTAATTGTTGCTCCACCGGGACTCCTTACATACCTACATATGCACACACACACACATATATATGTATGTATGTATATCCATGGTTATGCATTCGAGGACTCAACCAACTGTGAATAGAAAATATTAGAAGGGGAGCAATTAAATGATCAGAGTAATTCGTCAAAGATGACGAGGAAACGTGCAGTGCCATTGACATATGAGGTATGGTAAGTCAGCTAGAGATTATTTAAATTGTATGAGAGGATATGCAAGACCATATGCAAATACTGCATCATTTTGCATAAGGAATTTTGTGTAAGTCTCTGTAACCCAGTTAAGTCCTATCATGTAATGTGCAGTTCGTTTTCTCTGTGCTTTGTACATTGTTGTTGAGCTCATCCTTATGAAACAAACCAGTTGGGGTGCATCTGGGCAACTTGGTAGGATAGGAGAGACAGGACAAGCAAACCATACGATCCGTCTTTTAGAAGCTTGCAGTCTGGGGACAGATTTATAATACAGTGTGATAATAGCAAGGCATACTGGAAGGGGCTTGTGGGACTACTTTGTCTAGAAGAGCATGGAAGCAGTAGAGTGAACAGAAACTGGGACCTGAATAATAAGCAGGAGTTTCCTAGGCCTGGTGATTCAGAAGAGACGAGTTCAGTGTGTCTGGAGTGAGGGGCAGTGTGCTGAAGGCTGTTGCCACAGGGCCACACCACACAGAGGGCTTCTGTAGGAAGGTCGTTTAATGTATGTTTCCATGTATTTACTGGCCATTTAAAAATTTCAGGCTTCTTTGTTAAAGAATGATGAGACGAAAGCCCTTACACCAGCATCATTGCAGAAAGAACTAAACAGCTTGTTGAAATTTAATCCTGATTTTGCTGAAGCGGTGAGTCTTTCCAGAAGATATTGCTGAGTTTGGAAGACAAGGTTTTAAAAAAAATTTTCTTTTTTTAATGTTGATTTGTCATTTAAATAAGTATTCGCTCTTTCTTAAATCAAATTATTGGCAAGTAAACAACTTGGCATAGTTTGCTAAGCCCTTTGGGCCCTAGGGAGTTTCTTAGATCTCCTGATGTTCATTCATCATCTCTCTAATATTGCTGATTATGGACAGGAGATGATAGAGAAGGCTTATTTAATTATTTCAGATCTCTTTTATTCTGTGATAGACCTCTCCTTCATATTATTTATTTGTTAAAGGCACAGTCATTTACCATGCAAAATGCCCACATTCTAGATTTAGCTGATGCAGGATGGCTTCTTCATGTGGCAATGCGTTAGTTTCTCTACCACCAGTATTTCCTGGAAGCTGGTAGTAAGATATTATTGTTGTTGTTAGCTGTCATCGAGTCAGCTCTGACTCTTGGCGGTCCTGTCCACAACAGGACACAGCAGCCCCCTCGTTGTCCATCTTTGGTATGCTCAAGTTCACTGTTGCAGCCACATTAGACTGATTTAAAAACAAAAAATAAAATTATGTTTTGGGACTAACTGATTCTTTTCTCTTTTCCTATTTTGACAGCATTTTTTCCAATAATTCCATTCCTTACAGGATCCTTTTTTATTTTTTTACCTTGAAATTTTTCTTGGTATTACCTGGATTTGATATCTGACTCTACCCACATGTAGAAACAGAAAGTTTAGTTCAGTGAATGAAACAAAATGAAAACAGTTTCAAAATAGAAGATAATTAACTCAGTGATCTAGTAAAAGTTTCATTGTACTATAACGGGGACACTTAGAAAAATTAATTTCATAACTCATATATGGATTGATGTGTAAATGTATTTTAAAATAAAGACCTGAAATAATCCTGAGTGAGTTCTTCCTCCACCCTCTCACATATCACTCACGGGTCCTACCTAGTGCACACTGTATGCCTATTTAAGAGAAAGCTAATACAAACACCCATTTTTCATTTGGAGATCCCTCTTGAGGGATCTTTGGCAAAACAATGGATCTTGATCTTGTTCTAGTCCCCATGTAGAGCAAAAAATGAAGATAATCTATGGCCATCTTGTTGAAAGTGTGTTGTTTGTACTTAGTCTTTTTCAAGAAGAAGCAGAACATTGAAAATATGTGGCCTGTTTCTTGTTTTAGCATTATCTCAGCTACTTAAACAATCTCCGGGTTCAAGATGTTTTCAGTTCCACACACAGCCTTCTTCATTATTTTGACCGCCTGATTCTTACCGGAGCCGAGAGCAAGAGTAACGGGGAGGAGGGTTACGGCCGAAGCCTGAGATACGCCGCTCTGAACCTGGCCGCCTTGCACTGCCGCTTTGGTCACTAGTAAGTTTATGGACCTCTGTCCATGCTGAAATGGAAAAAATCAGCTCACCAATGTCATGATGTATTAAAGGAAAAAAAAAAGCAAGAGAGGCAGGGAGGGAGAGAATCTTAAACTTGGACTTTTCATTAACTTCTGAAGTTCTGTCTAAATCATCTGCCCCCTGGTGTCACTACTTGGTATCACCATCTTAGAGCCTGGCCCCTTTCCTTACTTCTAAAAGGAGCTCTGGTAGCGCAGTGGTTACTAATCGGGCTGTGAACCGCAAGGTCAGCAGTTTGAAACTATCAGCTGTTCCGCAGGAGAAAGATGAGGCTTTCTGCTCCCATAAAGATTTATATCCTCAGAAACCCTGTACAGGGTCACTATGAGTCGGAACCAACTCCACGGCACACAGCCACCACCAAGAACAACATAGGAGCTGTGGTAGCGAGTCAGGCTGCTAATCTCACTGTCAGCAGTTTGAAACTACCAGTGGTTCCGTGTGAGAAAGATGAGGCTTTCTGCTCCTGTAAAGATTTACAGCCTCAGAAACCGTATATAGACAGGGTCGTTAGGAGTCGAAACTGACTCCACAGTCACCACCACCATCAAGAACAACATAGAATTAAAAATAAATTAGGTTATTAGGCCATTGACTCCCAGCAGGGTTTTTTCTGAGGTAATAGTGGGAATGCAAAAGGTATTTTAAGTGTTTGAAAAAAAGCCAAAAGGAAATTGAGCCTTTACTGGATAAATACCCACACAGACTGACTGAAAACCTTTCTTTCTGCTCTTGGATGCAATTCAGGCAAGTCAGTGAGGGGACTGGTGTATTCCATTGCTGGGATGTCTATGTTTATAATGAATCAAAATAGGAAAGTTGATGCATTATTACCTCGTGCTGTTCAGTGCTGTCAAGTTGATTCGGATCCATAGCAACCCTGTATAGGGTTTCCGAGGAGGAGCTGGTGAGCTTGAACCGCTGACCTTGCAGTTCAAACGGCTTTGCAGTGTGGTGCAGTAACCCACAGTACCGTACTATGTAGAGCTAAAAAAAACCCTGGTGGTGAACTAATTAACCAAAGAGTCGGCAGTTTGAACCCCCCAGTCTGCGTCCATAAAGATTTAGAGCCTTGGAAGTCCTATGTGACAGCTCTGCTCCGTTCTTCAGGGTCATCATGCGACAAAATCGACTTGATGGCAGTGGGTTTGGTTTTGGTTTTATAAAGAGTTAAGTAGATTAAAACTTTGCAAGTATGAAGGCTGTTAGGAAAACAAGGAAATAATGTGAATGGTGGTAGGAAGGTAGGAAATTATTAATTGAGGAAGTATTTGTTTGTTTACTGTAGCGTTGTCCCACTCGAAAGAGATAGGGTCTCTGTGCAGGCATCTTATTTCCTTTTCTTGCCTTATTGCTCTAGCTAGGACTTGAAGCACAGTATTGAGTTAGAGTGGTAATAAAGGGCATCCTTCTCTTGTTCCTGTTCTCTAGGCGAATTGTTACTGTTTTAGTTGCATGCCATTGAGTTGCTTCCAACTCATAGCAATCCTGTTTAGGGTTTCTAAGAACTGCTGGTGGGTTTGAACTGCTGTTAGAAGTCCAGTGCTAATTCTGTGCTACCATACCATGCTCGCTATCATTTTCCATTGGGAATAATGTTGTCTGTTGGTTTTGCATCTCTGCCCTTAATTATGTTAAGAACTCTCCTTTCTGGTCCTATTTCTCTGATATTAGGAAAGTGTATTGGATTTTATTAAATGCCTTTCTGCAATTTGGATGATATGGGATTTTTATCTTTTATTTTATTTATGTGGTGATTTATGCTGATTGATTTTCTAATGTGGAATCATCCCTGGTATGAATCCCACTGGATCATAAAATGTAATCTTTTTGAATTCTGTTGACTAGAATTTTGTTGAGAATTTTTACATCTCAGATTCATAAGGGATGTTGATCTCCCTGTAACTTTGTTTTTAACTGATATCATTGCCTGATTTTGGGATCAGGATCATTCTGGCTTCGTAGAATGATTTAAGGATAATTATGTTGTTTTCTCTGTTCTAGAATAGATTGAGCAGAAGTGGTATCAACTTCTTCTCCCAACGTTTGGTAAAATTCTCCAGTGAAGCTGTCTCATCCTCTGCAGTCTTCTGAAAACTAAGTAATAGTCTGCCTTCACTAGTTAAAAAGGTCTGCCTTGAGTTTTGTGCTCTTGTAAGAACCCTCTCTATGGGGCCACATTGACCACAGCAACCTGAGAGGTTAGATAAGAGCCTTAGGGAAAGGTGAGTTCATGTTAATGAGGCTGGAACAACTCAGACAAGGAAGAGAAGAATGGTTGCACCACTCAAAAAATTGCAACCTGTGTCACTGACCTGTACATGTAGGAAGTGGTGAATTGGTGTATGTGGTACTGTGTAAATTCTCAACAACAGCAGTAATAAAATAATTTTTTTTTAAAAGAAGAAAGATAAAATGTTGAAGAATGATGATGAATCTGTGAAACACCTCACAACATGGTTGAACCTGGAGGATGTTATGCTGAGTCATTCGCCAATTATAAAACATTAGTCAATCACAAAAGGAAGGACAAATACTGTATGGGACCAATGTTGTCAAAAGTTAAAAATAAAAATAAAAAAGTTTCCTTGATAAAAGAAACCATCTATGATAGTTCTGGAGGTGAGGGAGAGGGAGAGGGAAAATGATTCACAGGCTAGAGGGTAGACACATGTTAACATGGGTGACAGGGCAGGCAATATACAACAAGAGGGAGGTTAGCAGAGGAAAGATGAAGGTAGTGGCTGGAGACATAGGGAGGAATGCAGGCGTTCAGATGAATAGAGGTAAATACTGTTAACTGTGTATACATGGAGGGGATTGCAACCATGTGATGAAGCAAAGTGTAGGATTTATTTAAACGTAATACTGATGATCTACTCTGTAAACCTTCACTCAATTCATAATATAATATTAAAAAGAAAAAGAAAGAAAGAAAATGTGACAACTCAGCATTTCAGATCCAATTTTGAGGTCCTTAGAAATCCTAGTGTGGCACTGTAGGATAAGCACTGGACTGCTAACTGCAAAGTCGGTGGTTCAAATCCACCAGCCACTCCTTGGGAACCTATACAGGGCCGTTATGAATTGGAACTGACTTGAGAGCCCCTAACCACAATAACAACAGTGTTGAATCCATGTTCTAGTACTTCTGTTACTTTACTGGTCACTCTAAACACACCGTTTAAGATGTGACCCAGGCCCACTAGAGGTAACTGAAGAAATAAAACCAACAGAGATTAAATAGTTGATAATCCATTGTTGTTGTTGTTAAGTGCTGTCGAGTCGATTCCCACCCATAACAACCCTGTATAGGATTTCCAAGGAGCAGCTGGTGAGCTTGAACCACTGACCTTGCAGTTCAAATGACTGTGCAGTCTTATACATTAGCCCAGTGCGCCACACCAGGACTCCTGATACTGCAGAGTGTATAGTTAAATACTGCATGACACCGTGCAGATAGCATTGCTGGAGAATTTTCAGAAATGAGTGTTTGGGGTGGCCATGATAGCCACAGAGGTTGAGTGTTTTGGGGAGATATTGATAGAAGGAAATCACATTAGTATACATGTGCACACATACCGTCTTAGAAGTGGGAATTCTCCCAAAAGACTTTACAACTGGTTTTTCTTTTCTTTATTTTTATATGCATAATCTAAATTTGCATTAAATCTATGGAAACCATAATATGATTTTACTGAATTCCTTTTTGTATGCAAACCTATTCAAATAGTATTGTTGAGACTTATTTTTTCTGTTTCTAAACATAATGACCAGTCCATCTTATGACCTTTTTTTGTTTCTTTTTAAATTGTGAGTTGAGTGAAGGTTTACAGAGCAGCTCATCAGTCGTACATTCAGCAAATCATACGTGTCCTTTCATTTCAATGTTTGCACTTCCCTCAGGGTAATATCATTTATCCCGTGTTTCTTGTTTCAGTCCTCCGTCTTTCCCCACCCTTCTGAGTTTTGTCCTTGGGTAAATGCTGCTCTTTGTATTTTGTGCTGTGTGTACTTCACTAGTATTGTTGTTCCCCTTATATGTCTGTCTATTGCTAGGCTCAAAATTGAGTCACAGAGGTGAGTTCCACACCTGAAGTATGATTAAGGGTGAAGGTTGCAGGCTTCTACCAGACTCTGTGTGACCAGTATGCCTGGTCTTTTTTATGATTTTGAGTTCTGTTCCACATTTTCTCCCACTCTCTCTGGAACTTTCTAATCTTGTCCTTTTCAGACCAGTTGGTAGTGGTAGCTGGGCACCATCTAGTTCTCCTGATCTCAGAGCTGTGGGTACTGCTAGTCCCATGGTCCATTAGTCCAGTGTACTAATTGTTTCCAAGTGTCTTCAGTTTTTATCACTCTTCTTTCTCAGTAGGGAGAGACCAATAGTTGTATCTTAGATAGCCCCTCATGAGCTTTTAAGATCCCATTCATTGCTCACCTAAATAAGATATAGAACATTGTCTTTGTGGATTATGTTATGCCAGTTGACCATAGTGTTGCAAGACTGTGGCTTCTGAGCCCTCAGACCCAGCAACTCATTCTCTCACAGTGTTTGATAACGTCTAAGAAGTTTTTAGAATTTTGTCTTCTGGATGCTCCACTAGCGTAGTGGTTACGAATCGGGCTGGTATCATCAGGGTCAGCAGTTCAAAACTACCAGCTGTTCCATGGGAGAAAGAGGAGGCTTTCTGCTCCCGTAAAAATTTACAGCCTTGGAAACCCTGTACAGGGTCGCTATGAGTCGGAACCAACTCCACGGCACAGAACAGCAATAACATGCTCCACTACATTCATGGATATGTTTGCAGCAAGGCGTACACATCTTCTCTGTCAAACCTTTATGTAATTGTGGGTATCACTGTTCCTGCAGGATTATGTGTGTAACAGTGTTTACTTCTCTTCTCTTTAACTCTTCCACTGCTGCCCTGTACCCTCCCCTGCCTTCATGATTCTTCTGCCAATCTCCATCTTGTTGCATATTGCGTTAGGACATTTTGATTACAACAGTGCTGTTTGCAACTTTTAAAAAATAGTTGTTGTGTGCCAGTAAGTTGAGTCTCACTCACAATGACCTTACAGGACGGACCAGAACTGCCTGCACAATTAGTTTGTTCTTTTCTTCATTTTGAATGGAAGTTGTACACAAGATTATTTTACTCCTGCATCTTCGCAATCGTTTCTTCTTTATATTTGTCCTTGTCCTTTCCTACTTAGCAAGATTTCACTTTATGTTCGAGGATGTTTTTGCAGTCTTTATCCAGTTTTAGCCTAGTGATAACCAATGCCACCTGGACACTTGTGCACCAGTCAGTGTAGATGACAGATTTCTGCCTGCACCCCTGAACCACTCTGACAAATTGCTGACCTTTCTAGTGTCCTCATCCAACTCAAACTCATCATCCTTTCGCATGGGCATGGACTGAAAGTTGTGTTTCTGTCTCAGTTTCTTGGAAAGAGGGGAAGACAATTTTCCTGCAAATGTGGGAAGGTGCATCTAAGTGTCTGTTTTTGTTTTTGCTCCAGGCAAAAGTCACGAAGGGATTGAACTTCATCTTGGCCTCTGTTACTTCAGCAATAGCCGTGTAAGGGAAAAGCTACACAATTAGTTTTTGAAAAAATTATAGATGTAATAAATGCTTCTGGTTTTTAGAAATTCAAATCATGCAGAAGGGAACGCACCACAAAGTGAAACTTGTGCCTTCTCCTTGGCCTTCCCCTTAGAGGTGGAAGCTAAAATAAAAGTCTCCAGACTTGAGGTAGAGAAAAGTCATTCCTTCATGCCCCTTTCTTTGGAAATCTACCTTTGAAGCAATGAATCCTTTGCTAATGTTTCGTGTGGCTGGGCATGGTCCCATTAACAGTGACAGTGGCTGAAGTCTGCATCCTCCTGCCGTACAGATGACTTCCTGCCCCCGTTGGGCTGGGCAAACGTGCTTGTGGTTGTTAATGGGATAGTAACGTCAGTCTGTGCTCAGTCAGCAGGCGGAGCTCGCGCTGCAGGAGGCCATCAGGATTGCCCAGGAAGCCAATGACCACGTGTGTCTGCAGCACTGCTTGGTGAGGCCCCCCCTCTGCCTGGGGCTGTTGCTTGTGGGTTGCGTTGTGTTTCAGAGACCCCCATGTGATTCAGGTCCTCAACAGTAAAGGAGACTAATTCAGTGCTGCTGGGGATTTAGGGAGAGTAACCCATATTTTTATCTATGTTTTTCTCAATTCACGGCATCTCTTCTGCTCTGGGGGCATTTTCTGTCTCCAAATATGAATGCACCCTGCCATGTCAAATCATACACATTTAACATCGTGACCTGCACCTAGTGACTGGGTGATGTTACTGTCCTGCAGTAAACGTAGTCACCGGCACAAGTGGAACACAGAATTTAGGTCTAGTCTTCCGAGAACCTCAGTTCCACAATTTAAGGCTCTTGGTGGCATGGTGAATTAAACATTGGACTGGTAACTGTAAATTTAGCAGTTTGGACCCACCAACTTCTCCTTGGGAGAAAGATGAGGTGGTCTATTTCCGTAAAGATTTACAGCCTTGGGAACCTTAGGAGCAGTTCTACTCTGTCCTTTTGTTGTTGTTAAGTGCTGTCGAGTCACTTCGGACTTGTAGCAACCCTGTATAGGGTTTCTGAGGAGTGGCTTGTGAGCTTGAACTGTTGACTTTGCAGTTCAAACCGACCTTGGTCCAACGCATTAATCCACAACACCACACCAAGACTCTATCCTAGAGGGTAGGAATCGACTTGACAGCAGCGGGTAGGTGGAATGGACGGGCCTTGATGCTAGTTTTCTGGAACACTGCCTCCGTCAAAGGGGAGCAAGATCAGTGGCTTATTGATTTCACTCTGAGGGTTTTCATGTGCTCGACAGGTTTCATTTACGTTCATAATTCCTGACAGTATATTAAAAGATTTATTTCATTCCTTGTAAATTTTGAATCCTTTCTTACAAGCACATGGATACTTTACTGGAATGCTAGCCACTGCCTTTGCCACTAGACATCTTGATGATTTCTCTCACCAGAGCTGGCTGTATGTGCTGGGCCAGAAGAGATCTGACAGCTATGTTCTGCTGGAACATTCAGTGAAGAAAGCAGTACATTTTGGTTTACCGGTAAGGTACATCTAACTATGAGATGAATGGAAAGTCTTGAGCCTTTGTCTCTATTTCTTCCCACCTTTGGAATGAACCCGTGGTAGATTTAGAATGTCTATCAATGTGCAGTTTTGCTCTTGTTCGCATCACATGATCTTAATTATTAATCACATCACTCAGTTCTGCTTCATAGGTTTCTCTCTGTTCTTTTTCTCCTTATAACATATGTACAAGTTGTTTTTATCAACTGCATACGAAACCTTTGTTTAGTTCATTGGTCAACATTAACTTAGCACAACTTCACTTAGAAAAATACTTTAGGAAAGGCTTCTTTTTAAGCCAAGGTTTGGCAAACCCATGTCCCATCTGGTTCCCTGTCTGTTTACATACGGCCCTTAAGCCAAGAATGATTTTTAGCTTTTTAAAATGGTTGCGGGCGAGGGCAGACCAAGATGATTGTGTGACAGAGGCTGATTGTATTTCAGCCTGCAAAATCTAAATTGTTTACTCTCTTGCCCTTTACAGGAAAAAGTTTGCCATTCCTTGTTTTAAATAATAAACAAAGCCAGGAAATGGTAAGCCAGGCAAGCGGATCTGTCGTTTCTCGTGTTGACTCACAGAGAAGGCTGCAAACTATAGTCCTCAGAGGCCTAATGTTTGAAGCGTACCTGAGGAGTATTGAGTAGACATCACATTTTGAAGTAGCAATACTTGTTAGAATCCAGAGTTCTGTTACATGAAGAACCTTATTTTATCTCAAAGACATCTACTACAAACTCCAGAGACAATAGCAGTGCTTAGAATGTTTGTCTCTTACTAAATTTCAACTGGAAGGAATTTTGGGCAGTAAATTTGCCTAATCCCTTAAACTGAATTTACTTTCTTTTGAATCAGTCCTGTCACTGTCCGTGTGCTGAAATGTGAAAAATGATAAGTTTCTGAAGAGAATCCCCCACCCAAGACAAATGGTTTTTCCCCATGATTTCTCTTCCTCTCTCCTTCCCTGCGCCTTGGTTATGGGTCTGTCCCCTCAGTACCTCGCGTCCCTGGGAATACAGTCCCTGGTGCAGCAGAGAGCCTTTGCGGGGAAGACAGCAAACAAGCTGATGGATGCCCTGAAGGACTCCGACCTCCTGCACTGGAAACACAGCCTGTCGGAGCTCATTGACATCAGCATTGCCCAGAAAACCGCTATCTGGAGGCTGTACGGCCGCAGGTGGGCCTCTTAGCTGAGGGTCAGGGCCGGGGGCAAGCATGAGTCTTTTTAGAGATAAAGTAGAATGTGGCAAACTGCTTCTGTGAAAGCTTAGACATACATGGCGTTCCCTCCTCTGGTAGAAATTATTCATGCAGGGAATTAAAGAAGAGACTTTGGAGCTTAGAATACTTTTAGGATATTGCACAGACTTTGCAAAGCCTTCCTATGTGCATTCTTATTTACTCCTCACAGCTGCTTGGTGAAGTCACAGATGGTTCAGCCACATTTCAGGATGAGTAAACAGGTGGATGTTTCTTATTTGCCCAATGTCACCAATGTAGTTCACAAGGGACAGAGCTGGGACTCAATGCAGTCATCTGACTGTGCTTCCAGAAAGGACAGGATTCCAGTTGTTCACAGGTGGTCTGGTCTGTAAACGCTCAAGTCGAGATCCCTGAATCCCAAATCTGTTAGGTAAAGACAGTTCCTACCCTGTTAACCAGTGTGTCTGCTCTGGAATATCCCCAGCCTTGTGTTTACTTTTCCATTTCACCTTTGACTACAAAAAATACTTGTCAACCAGTTTGATCCCCAAGCCCTAGCTGCACCTTTCTGCCTAGTCAGCTGGCTTTTTCAGGAATGCAGTAATGAAAGGACATTCCTTTTTTACTTTAAAGTTTTTGAACTTTGGAGCACTTTCTGGCCCGGTATGGTCTGAGACAGTTATAGACACTGGCCAGTACACACCACTGGGCATCCGGTACTGGGCTGGCTTTGGGTCTGCAGCGACCCACAAAAGCAAATTCACACATGTAAGCATGTGGGAACTCGGCGGCCTTGGGGCTGGTGAGCTCCTGGTTGTGCCGTAACTGCCTATTGGGTCCTTTGAGGCTGCCCCTCCTGAAGCCTCCCGGCATCCCTGGCCTGCAGCAGGAGAGGTGGTCTTAGGAAGCAGCTGCTCCAGCCACACCAGTGCCCAGAGGGGGTTTTAGCTCCCTCCCAAGATGACTGCAGGGAGCAGATAAGGGGCAGCCTGGGCTCACTGAAGGCACCCACTCCTGTCTCCTCTCGTCCCCAGTACCATGGCCCTTCAGCAAGCCCAGATGCTGCTGAGCATGAACAGTCTGGAGTCGCTGAACGCCGGTGTGCAGCAGAACAATACCGAGTCCTTTGCGGTTGCGCTCTGCCACCTTGCGGAGCTCCACGCCGAGCAGGTAGGCAGGTGGGCAGGCCAGCGTGCTCCTTGAGCAACGCAGGGGCCGTCAGCCTGGGACATGTCTGGTTGGATGCACGTGGCTGCGAGGGGAAATCCCACCTGTGCAAATTGACTGAGTGTGATGTCTGCAGGACTGGCTGTACTTGGGTTCCCTTCTGGTGTCAGGGAGGGAATCTGAGCATAGGTCACGTTCATGTCACAGACAGTGCAGGAGACTTTGCTTTATCGCACCTCATAGATATACTGCGTTTATTATCAATTGAAGGAGCAAGCCTTTTGGCGTCATTTTTCTATCAGCATGTGCTCACTGCGTGTCTCTGCGCTACTTTTTGGTCATTCTCAAATATTTCAGACTTTTTCATGGTGCTATGTCACACTTCATAGACTACAGTATAATGTCAATAAAATTATATGCACTAGGAAACCAGCAGACACATGTGGCTCGCTGTATTGCAACATTGGCTTTATCGTGCTGGCCTGGAACCGAATGTTCAATATCTCTGAGGTCTGCCAAGTTGCATGTTTACAGGAGTCAGGAGAATGTGGTAAACAGCTAAAATGACAGTAGCTAATACTTGCTGTACATATACTCAGTTCCAGGCCTTGTGCCTGGTGTTTTCTCCTATGAATTAAGCTTACAGGAGATCAGGTTTATTATTATGCCTCTGTCACAGAGCAAGGAAGGACCTGAGACCCAGAGCGGGAAATCTTACATTCCCAACCATAAATGTCAGAGCTAGGCCCCCAGCTCAAATCGAATTGACTCCATAGCAGGGCATGACAACTGGACATGGTCTTGGTTTATAGCCTACGTCATTTCTATGACTCTCTTGATTGTATGTTACAATAATGCTGAGCAGGTCTCAGGAGCTTCCAGACTGAAACAGACTAGGAAGAAAGGCTTGGTGATCTTCCAGTGAAGACCCTATGAAGGGACTTTAAAAAAGTTCATAGAAAAATTCCATTAGCTTTCATTCCGTTTTTCCACGAACTTTTTGAAGCTCCCTTGTATTTGTGCACCAGGTCACAATTGATCAGGGCCTGACGTCAAGGTACCTAACAGCACAACAGGATAAAGATAAATATCACAACATTGCAAAAAGACATGAGTATCATAGAAAAAGTGTAAGTGTCCAGATAAACTGGAAAATCCTTTCAATTTAGTCATTAAAGAAAGTTTAACCAGTAAAGTAGGCTACAATACTTAAACACTGGAAGAGAAGGCCACAGAGGGCTAGAGTAAAAAGTACTGGGGCCGCTCTGTAGGGTAATTGAATACTATGTCTCTAAGGTCTTAAAAGTGCCTCTCATTGGGCTTAGCAATTCTATTTCAAGGCGTTTTTTTTTTTAACTTTTCATAGTGAAATGAATGAAGGTTTACAGAGCAGATCAGTTTTACATTCAACAAATCATACACTTTGTTTCATCTCAAATGATAGCAACGCTTCCTTGCAACAATAGTGATCCCACTTCCTCCTTGTGTTTCTAGTTTCCGTCCCTCCTACTTTCCCAGCCCTCCTGAATTTTGTCCTTGGGTAAATGTTGCTCTTTTAATCCCATCTACTTTTAAGGTTTTATGCTAAGAAAATGATTGGACAAGTATGCAAAGATATATATACACCAAGATATTTATTGTAGTATTTTTGTTACACTTTCTTTTTTAGAGGGAGTACCCGAATTTGAACTGGGGGATTTTTGATTCATAGTGTAGCATTTTTAAAATGCAGGAAAATTGAAAATAACCCAAAGGTTTCAAAGTAGGAGATTATTAGATGTATCATAATCTGTTTACATACTGAAATACTGTGCAGCTCTAAAAAAACATGACAGTATTAATCGACACTGCACAGATTCATTTATTCAACAATTATTTATTGGGCACCTACCATGTAGCAAACAGTATGATAAGCAATTTATAAAAAGAATATGTTTAATTATTTTAAGGAGCCTTGGTGGTACAGGGAATTAGGTGTTGGGCTGCTAACCTGAAGGTCAGTGCTTCAAACCCACCAGCCACTCTGCATGGGTCAGATGTGACGATCTGCTTTTATAAAGATTACAGCCTCAGAAGACCTATGGGACAGTTCTCCTCTGCCCTGTAGCGTCACTGTGGGTTGGAACTGACTTGATGGCAGTGAGTTTGTTTTTTTGGTGGGATGGGGAGTATTTGTATTTTTTATAGTTGTTGTTGTTGTTAAGTACTGTTGAGTTGGTTCCTACTCAGCAACCCTGTATAGGATTTCCGAGGACTGGCTAGGGAGCTCACACCGCCGACCTTGCAGTTCAAACCAACCTTGCAGTGTGGAGCATTAACCCATAGCACCATGACTATTTGCGGTGTCATTAAAAGTAATTTGTCCTTTTTTATTGTTTATATATATTTTATAAGTTTTTTCTAGAGTAAACATGTATTATATGGGGATGGTGTAGTGTGCTGTTGAGTTGGTTCCTACTCATAGCCATCCTGTGTAGGATTTCCAACACTGTAAATCTGTATGGGAGCAGAAAGCCTCACCTTTCTCCCATGGAACAGCTGGTAGTTTCGAACTGCTGACCTTGAAGTCAGCAGCCCGACTCATAACTGCTGTGCTACCAGAGCTCCTTATCTATTGTACAGGTCATTTAAAAACTGTTCAAAACTAAAATATATGGGGCGATAAGCAAGAAGGGGGAGGAGAATGGAAGAACAAAGTGGATGGGAGAACAATTAGGCAGGTTTGCATGGGCTAAGTGGGACAGACGTAAATAATGATGTATGCACAACCTTGGAACAACAGGGCTCTGGGATACAGGGATTGAGACATGGTGGGAATGGGGAAAAGGGGGGAAAATACTGTTAAGATTCTTGGCTGTCTTTTGAATCTTGGTTTCCCTGGCATAACATTATAAAATAGACACTTGAGGGAGAGAGAAAGGAATAGCCAGAAATATCTCCATAGAAAGCCTGTAAGTCCATCTTCAGCCTATAACTGAGTGGAATACCTAAAATGGGGCTACAGCATGCCCAGTGAGGGAGGCTTTCTTCAGAGCCTCTGCATTACATAAGACCATGGGTGGAATCCTTAACCACATCCAGAATCTTCTGAGGTGGGAAATTTCCACTTGAAAGGACAAGCACACCAGCCTGGAGGGGCTAGACGAACAAAAGATACTTCTTGAAAGAAAAACCAACAGAAAAAATACAAAACAATGTAGGCAGGCTGACTGATTACTACTAGAACAAGGAAGTTCCTCGCCCAGGAGACAGCAAGGCAAGCGGTCTGGTCCCCTCAGAGCAAACCCCCTTCCAAGATTAAGACTCAATGGGAATACACGCTCTGATTGGTGACCACATTTGTCACCGATAAGGGGAAGTGAGGGAAAAACAGCAATGAAGCTGCAAGCTAAGCCCTACAAGGTTCAATAGCCTCTTGTGAACCCAGGTGGAGACCTGGTTGGCCAGCCCTGTGGCAAGACCTGGGGACTCTTGGGCCCAGAGTTAGTGGCAAGACCTGGAGACTCTTGGGCCCAAAGTTAGTGACGTAGCCACAGAGGAGTAGAGTGGAGAGTGAAGCATCCAGCTGATAAGAAGAGAGGGCGTATGCACAAGAACACCCACACTTGCAGATAATACCCACTTGACCTGGCTTCAATGACTGGATGATCAGAGCTCAACTAGAAGAAGAAAGAAGAGGAA